CTGATAGAAATGTAATTTCTGATAGGTTCCTATCTTGATGGAAGCCACCGCCGTCGCATATCTCAAGGCTGTTAATTAATGTGCTCTCAGTTTCTCACTCCCGTGTTTATGTGAAAGCATTTCATCTTGGGTGTGACAATTTTGTGGTTTGTTTATTGGTGTTGTGTTTTCATCCGATTTTTATGTTATGATATTATTTAGCACTCTTGTAAAAATCTAAATGATCCTGCGTATGTGTGCATAATAAGGAAGTGCCTGTGTATGCTTAACCGTGTGTGTGTTTTTTCTGTTCAAATACACATTTTTCATGTATTTGTTCAGTATTAAAGCCACTGTGGTTTGAAGACAAACAATGTTTTGGAAACGCACAGGAAACCACCTACAAAGTGTCGTTATCACTGACTTCTTTGGACTTCATTGTAAATCTGGACCCTGACAATGGAGGCCTGCCCAGACTCCTGTTTGCATTGGCAGGCTATTTTCAGTCTAATAGCTGTACACTGTCATTGTCAGCCTCTTATCATGGCGGGCACAGCCTTCTCTTGCACACACACCTTACTGTGTGTGTCTGTGATCGTGTGTGTGTGTGTTTTCAATGACCCCTGCTATTCAGCATTGCATTTATCAAAGAACTAGAAGTAGTAGATGAGGAAAGCTCATTCTACTGATGGACTCAGACAACAACACCTGTACATTATTGAACAGTACAGGAGGCACACGTTTAAACGCACATCTACCAAGACACACTTACATTGAATGTCATTTGTATGCAATCCTAAACAGTGGTGTTCTGGCTAGGCTAGCTCCCCACAAAGCCTTTAATTGTGAGCTTTAACACTTTGCAATTAAAATCTTGCCTCATCGCTCTGAGGACCTGGTGAGCCCGGCTTTGATCTGCTTTAATCATGCTGAAATGTATTGTATTTTAAGGAGCATAAAAGATGCCAGATACATTTTGGGATTTGAAATTGACAGACTCTCAACACCTTTGAAGATAACAGCGTTAGTGGCGTTTAAAGCTTGCGCTCACTCTGTACTTTGAACCCCTTTACCTTCTGCTTTTCAGATTCTGTTTCTCTCTATCTCCTATTCTAAAGTGGACAAATAGGATTAAAAATAGCATTTTACATTTTTCTTAGTTGGACCAGACATGGGGAAGGGATTCATCGTAGCTTGTCTAAAGATTTTAAATAAAGAAATGGCCATGAGTGAAGCGGTTGAGACACTGGCAGAATGTTACGTTGACTGACATGGAGGCAGGACACCAGCAGGGGGAACGAAGGATCTTTAATAAATAATGAAACGCAACAAAGACAGGAACAAAATTATGAAAGAAGACTTTGACTTAACTGCGCACATCAACTAATTTGCTTAGATTTGACTGTATTGTATTGAAACAGTACAGGTACAGTACCATGACATGCAGTTTGCATCCAACTAGAAGTGCAAAAGCGCAGTGCAAAACAATATGCAGGGCAGTGTGTCAATGAGTCGATGTATGAGTCAAATAAGATGGAGTACAGTGTGAGGATGTGCAATTGACATGGATAAGTAAATGGGCATGTAATCAGTTCAACAATGTAGCAGATTGCAAAGGTGCAGAGAGAAATACAAGCGGAAAACATCTGTGCATGTGGTAAATAGACAGTACAAACAGTAAGCAAAGTGCAAACGGCAAATAGAATAAATAGGTTATTAGTGTGTAGGGCAAGAGGTAGCAATGAGGAGTACTAACAGAATGTATTGTGCAAATGGCAAATCAAGTAAATAGTTAGCAGTGTGAAGGCAGGAGTAAACATGAACAAAAGCTACACAAACAAGATACACTAGGAAAGCAGGAACTCAAATAGGGTCTGTGATCAAGGGAAGCAGAAAAAAACAAAAACAAACAGATGTCCGCTATGAAAAGAGGGATAGAGGACGTTGGAATCATGTGACACCTAAACATTTTATAAAAGGTTTATTGTTGATTATCGGAGGGAATTTTACACATTTCTTATTATTTCTCATTTTCACTTGAATTACATATTTTAGTAATAGTTTCTCATAAGACATAAAACATGTAGTCATGGAGATCAGACATCATCTGAGAAGTGAATTCATTTGTCTGTTTTGATGAGAACTGATTTCTCCATCTGGAACCAGTTTCTAGAGGACTTAGCCTTGACTGCACAGCCTGACAGCAATTAACCGTGTGTGTGCCTGGTTGCATGTATTTGCACCTGTGTGTGTGTGTGTCTTTGTTTGTGTGTGTTTGCAGTTTCTAGAAACTGATCATCTTGGATTGGAAAGATAATGGAGCGTCTTTGCTTTTGTTTCATCCGTGACAGATGGACAGTGTGTGTTCAAGTAAAATGTGCCTTTAATTGCATTGTGCCATTTACAATCTATCTACTCCACAGATTTTGTTTACAGATTAAGTTGGTACTGATGGTGTGTGTGTGTTATTGTTTGTGTGTGTGGGCATGGGTGTTTTTCACACCTAGCTAACATATTAGACTTGTGACCGTGTGTGTTTTTTCCCAAATAAATCTCCCCATAAAGGATACTGTAATTACCATAGCTGTTGACCTTCAGGGTGAAAGTGTCATATTGTACTTTTTCCAATATACACTTAAACATAAGATTGCAAATGTGAGGTCGGAGAAGATGTCTGCTTCAAAGCTCACAAGTCGAAATCCTTTGGATCACATGGGATGGATGAACAACATAATCAACATACAACTACATTTCCATCTCATAGCTTACAAACACGATTGAGGCACACACTTGTGTGCATCCACCATATACAGGAGGCTTTTACTCAAACGCAATTAAAAAAATAACTCCTTGAGATCCACTTGAGAATGTTGTGTGTAATTCCAAATGTGCTCAAGTGCTCGTTGTGTGTCCAGCTGGACTTCTGTTTTCAATTCTTTTTTATTAGAAAAGGGCACTTGAATTACTGTTTTATGTTCCATGGTCTGGGATATGTTTCATTTGACATGTGTACTATATCCATTTGAATATGACAATTTAAAATCGGGAAATTTCAAGAAAAAAGCATTATTATTTTCAAACAGCCAACTGTAGCCAATTGCAAACATTGCTAACTTTGGCCACGGCTAGTTAAAAAAAGAGTGATCAAGGCATGGGAGATTTATATTGCGATTATATTCTTTGCATTTTTTCACGTTGTGCGTCTGCCTTCTATTCATCAACCTCCTCTACTTGGCTTTTTTCCCTGTTCTAATCCTCTCTTCTCTGTTGTCATCTCCTGTTTACTTACTCCTTCTATTGCCTTTTCTGTCCATTCCTCTTTCTCAATTTTCTCTCCACCTCCTCTCTACTCAACCCCATGTCTTCATCCCCATGGTCTTATCCTACCCTGTAATTAATGCACCTTTGCCAATCTACAGGCCAGTCCTTCCGCCTCTGACCCGAGACCCCTATTAACTACCAGCTTCTGTTAGGCGCTCAAAGGGAGAGCTCATAGGGAGAGCACTGCACAAAAGCAGGCAGAGAATCCTCAACCCTGCAATTCCCCTTTCCTAAGGTTAATGCCAAACACAGATTTTATATTATACCCAACCAGAGAGATTACTGTATTTTAGCATTACTCTTTAGTACAGGTTTAAACTACATTGCTGGATTGTGGAAAACTTGTTTTTTTAACAGCTTTGAATCATGTGCATAAATGTGTGAGTTTATGTAAGTGTGTGTGTCTGTGTCACCCTGCTCTAAGCTGAGCCTTCTTGCTAACTTTGGCTTTTACTTGATTTCGTGTCCTCAATGAAATAGTCTCTTTATGCCCACATTCTGGAAGACTGTGCCATATATGGCACAGAAGGGGAATGCGATGTGATCACAGTATTTTCCTTTGGGACGGGGTCCAGACACAGGGCTGATAAAAGGACAGTTGTGTGGGCATAAGCTTGAGTGGATTGGCAACTTTTAGATTCGACCTCCTGATTTATATTTAGATTATATATATATATATATATATATATATGGCCATATATGGAATACCAGGGGTCTGGAAAAAACATGGCAAAGGAATTAGTCATGTAGCTCCATAGTTGTGGTAAAGACCGTTCCATGTCTACAATGTAATGCAGTTAACAATCTCTCTGTGCTGGTGATTAACAGTCATCTAAAGCAAAGTTGAGAAAAATATTGTATATAATATTGTAATATTATAATTTCGATGTTTGTACGTATTGTTCCAGGTTATGTGTTTTGTTCACAACTGTGCCTCTCTGTGTGTCCTTCACAATCTAAAGCAAAGTGCTTGGTTTTCACTCACTTTTTGTCACTCTCTAAGTGGCATTGTAGCCGTTTAGCCACTTTTCTTTGGACAAATTGTTTTTGTGACCCTTGGAATGTTTGAGGAAATTATTATTTCTCATTGGTGCTCCCTTGGGTGCAGGGGCCAGCGCCTCTGTTGTCTGCTCTGGGATCACACACACACAGACACACACTGGATTTGTGTTTGTCGGAGGAAAGCTGTATCCCACAGGAGAAGGACCTCCAGGATGTTTTATAGCACTGATTCTTAACCCCTTACATTCCCCAAATGATGCCATAACAATCAGGGAAGTCTTTCAGTGCACACCCTTACACAAGCAGTGAGTGGGGAATAGCCGCTTTGATGTCTCACACTTTGCTTTAATCCTTTCCTATTAGCCTTACATTTGTATTTGTACTTGAACAGTTAGTTCTTCGCTATTTTACTTTTATAACTGACCAAAAAACATGTCTCTGGTCCCTCTTGGGGGGAGGTGAACAATGTTTTGATTTGAAACGTCCAATACAATCACAGTATTATGAAATCTTATTTAAAAAAGTCATTGGTAATGTCTTAGTTTGCAGCTGCGCATACAAACAATACACAGGGATCTGACGTTGGGCTGTGTAGGTTGGCTGAGTGCTGCCTGGCTGCATTCTGAAATCTCAATATCTTGTTTCCTTTAACCAGGTAGGCTGATTGAGAACAAATACTCATTTACAACAGTGACCTGGGGAGAAGCTCGGGATTAAACCCAGGACATCATACATACACAGCATGCACTCTACCACTGAGCTACGCCAACTCCTCCTGGAGATGTGCTTTGTGGAAACATATTTGTTTCCACAAAGTTCACAATGGCAAAAATTATATTCGCTGTATAATTTTTGCCATTGTGAACTGGAGATTGAAAATTAGAAGGGAAGAAGACTTTAATGGAATATCTTAGAAGGTGAATAGTGGCATATTATCAGCAACTATCAGATCTCTGTTCCAATCACATGTAAAATTATGAAATCTATTTTGCAATTATGTTAGCGTCGCTGAAAACTGTTGGGCTGATTAAAGGAGAAATACAACTGGCCTTATTTAGACAAGTTAAATATCTGGAGCATCAGCACTTTGATTACAAGCATTAAAATGACCAGAAGCAAAGAACTTTCTCCAGAAAGTCAGCAGTTTATTATCGTTTTGAGAAATTATCCATGCAAGAAATTTTGAAGAAACTTCAGATCTCATATGATACTGTGTACTACTCTCTTTACAGAACAGTGCAAATTGTCTCCTAACCACAAATAAAAAGTGTAGTGGAAGACCCCGGTGCAGAACTGAGCAAGACAAATAATATTAGTGTCAAGTTTGAGAAACAGGTGCCTCGCAGGTTCTCAACTGGCAGCGTCTTTAAATAGTACCCACAAAACACCAGTCTCTATGTCAAAAATGAATAGGCAACTATGGGATGCTGGTCTTCTAGTCAGAGCTGCATAGATAATGTCACGCTTGGGCTCAGTGATAGGTAGCAGGACACAGGCACAGAGATTTAAATTAAATAGTTTATTACAAGACACGCAATATCGGAACTTAAACGGAGGACTTCGGATAACAAAACAACAAACAGGAGATCGTACCGATCACAGAGTTTAAACAGGAGAAACAGAAACTCCTCTGTACATACCCATATGAACAACAGACAATGATCCGACCCCGACAGCCAGAAAAGACAGGACTTAAATACATGGCTAATGACTCAACAGAAAACAGGTGCGAAAATATACACAGGTGCCATGAATGTTCTTGATTAACTCCCTCTCTCCGCTGGCAGGGGGAGTGCCAACACTAACATAGAGAGGGACAGAGGGATGGAGAGACCTCTGGTCCTCACAGATAATGGCATATCTCAGACTGGCCAGACTGGCACTGGACAGAGGACATTTGGAAAAAAAAGGTGGTACGAACAGTCAAGTCTTAGATTGCGGTGTTCATTTGAAAGACGCAGGCCCAATTAAAAGATGCTAGAGGAGTGCTTGAATCTCGCAATCATGGTAGAGGCAATGCAATGGTCTGTGGGTGCTTTGCTGGTGGTAAAGTGGGAGATGTGTAGAAGGTAAAATATATCTTAAAGAAGGAAGGCCATTACTCCATTTTGCTACGGCATGCCATTCCCTGTGGACAGAGCTTGATTGGAGCCAACTTCCGCCTACGTCAAGAAAATGACCCAAAGCCCAGTTCCAAACTACTCTAAGTCCTTAATGTGCAGCTCCAATCCTGCCTCGCGCACAGTCACTTCCATATTACGCGCATAGTGCTCATGTTAGCCGCGGTGTACAGCACTATTTTCTTATAGTACTTACATATTGTTTCTGTCTTGTCTGTCACTCATCGCCAATTATTGTTTCCACTGGGTACCCAAAATGCTGCCACACAAACAATATAAAAGTTGGAGTGGCATCTCTATGCTAATTCCACACTCACACTCGGTCCGTGAGACAGCTTTTTTAACCTCAACAAGAAATATTGTCATGTATCAATATCATACCCCTAATGATAAAACATGCTGTAAAAGTATTGTGATATTATATTGTGTGGTCCATGGTAATTTGCAGATTTACTCCATATTATCTCTATAAAGCTCTATGTCCTAGTAAATAATACTGAATGAATTGAGTCAAAGGGATTTCTCTTGTAACAATAGAACAAAAAGCACTCATTGGATCAGTTGAGTGTTCATAGTTTGCTGCAGAAAAAACACCTTAGTGGAGTCTTTTGAACTGTAGTTATGAGGAAATGGAATCACTGCCCTCATTTATAAACAGACATTCATTTAGTCCGCCACAGAAACAGTCAGAGGTCTGAGCTTGCAGTATGGTAATGATGATTTGGCCTCCAAAAAAGAGGTGCAACACAGGGTCAAAGAAGTGCGCAAGCAGGTTTTAATGCCAGAGCTTGGCTGATATGCAAAGAATGGGGTCTTAACTGGGCCAATTCAAATTGGGGGCAGATTTGCTTAACTGGCTAATTTAGACGTACATGAATGTAGATTCCATTTCCACAAGTGAGAGGGGTTTTTTGTTCATCATTTCTTTCATATCGGTGGAGGTGGAGTTTTTTTTTTTTCTCCATCTGGCTCACAAAAAAAATAATAATGATGAGGGTCAAGTTGGTAATTCTCTGTGTCAGCAGCAGAGAGATGGCACAGTGATCGTTTTTGCATATTGACATTTGCCCATTTTGTCAAAGCGATTATATTATTATATTATATATTATAGCTCATCATATTAATAGCGTATTCACTGAATAGTTTTTGTTGTTATTTCTGAGTACTACTTTTCTTTCCTCAGTTTCTTCATTTAGTTATCCAACGTATGTGTTGTTTAGCGTTATTACATCACTGTACATGGAAAATCTTCTGCACTTTTCGGCAAGATGTGCTGGTTTACATGTTAACTATTGTTCTTGTAACTGTCCTGAAAAAGACAAACAATGTAAAGGTACATATACAAACCTGCACAGTACAGTTCAGGGTGGCATAATGGTATGAAAAGGGTATGCCTCGCCTTAAATATGATCCATAAATCACTGTTGTAGGAGTAGATAGCTCTGTGTACAGTAGATAGCAATATGGAGAGAGGAGAGCAGGGGAGCAAAGGAAACTGTAGGACAGTAGATGAACAGAGTGGCGGTGAGAGAAGAGGAATAAAGGAGGATAGAAGGGTAGTGGATGGGATATGGGATGGTAGGCGAAGAGCTCAGGAAACGATTGGAGAAATTAGAAGAAGAGCAGTGAGCATGCAGCATGTCAATGAGTGTGTCCGGTGTCACCGAGCTCAGCGTTGAAAACAGCCATCTGGAGATTCAATGACTTCCACCATCTGGCTGACTGAGCCACTCAGGACCCTGACAGAGTAAAAGTCGCCTTCAGAATGGCCTTTTAAAGTCCTACACCAGTCTCCATTTCAGCTCATTGAATTAGTCGACGAACGGCCCATCTAAATAGTTTGTCCAGGTAATGGCACTGTGACGTAGCACATGTGGCAAACAGCCCTTTTCTCTTTTGTTCTGTTTTTCCTCCTGTGGTGCCTCAACTATGATGTGAGGCTCGCTGACATCACAAATCCCAGTAAGACCAACACTTTGAATTCCCTACTCTTTATGCAAGTCAAATGTTTATTTTTTTGGGTTGCTACGGTAGTTTAGAAAATGCGAAAACAATGTTTAATCTTTTACTCCCTCAAACAGTGTTTTCTTTGAAAATTAAAACAAGAACGAAAAGCATCAATATTACTCTGGGACAGTAGAGGGTGATGATCTGGTAATAGGCATATATGGCTTTATCAAGAGGAAGAATTGACCCTTTGCCAAGCCACGCCCGAAAACCGCCACAGGCCAATCGTGGTTTAGCCACCGTAACTAGGCGCACGAGGTCTGTCAAGCTTTCGAGCAAGGGAAACATGCCAACGCGTTGTGCTTATGGATTGTGTAAATCTGATACCCGATATCCTAAAAGTTTGGACGGGAGGTGGAATTTTTTCCTTTAGCAAAACCTAAAACCCAAGTGGAGAAATGCCGGGCATGGACGGAGCTCACTGACATACTTTAAAATACCCCTGAGTACCCCAATCCGAATGATAGCATTGTAAAGTGGTCAAGCAAATGGCTTATTCCACAAGATTTGTGGATAAGATGCTTGATTTACAATTTTTAGATTATATTCACTTACCCTGCTGTGCATGAACATAGCTGTTCCTCAATTTGTGTTTCCCACTTGAATGGTTAGCGTATGAGGCAGCTGCTGCTTGCGCTGGGACCTAGGCTTTCGCTTCAATTTTAAAGATGTTATTTTCTAATCGGTTGCATATTATGTCGTGGATATATCCCTCGAATGCATACTGCAGCCCTATTTGTCTTGCTCTTTCAGAAATTTCACCTGTTCGCCAAAAATGATTAAATATCTCATTGGGAATGTCTGACACCGGTGCATACATACTGCAATAGACGTGCCAGGCTTGAAAGCTTGACAGGCGTAGCAACAGTAACTAAGGAGGGCGTGGCTTAGCGAAGGGTCAATTGAGCAGTTGAGCATACACAATAAAAGGGCTCAGACTTTGGTTAATAGACTTCAAGTCGCCTCAAGAGAAAAGTGACAAATACACAAAAACACCTCAAAGGAAGGCTAAAACTATACAATTCACCACAAAATGTTGTCATCTGCACACATAGTTGCGTTTGTAAAGCATGCACTCAAATTAACACAGCACTTTGAATCCTTTTGTTTGCAGTATATTGCAGTGATATTGAAACATAGCACTTATCTAAACTACCGTATTTTCCGGACTATAAGTCACACTTTTTTTATAGTTTGGCTGGTCCTGCGACTTATAGTCAGGTGCGACTTATATATTAACATTAACTTAAATACAACTGAAAATTCCCCCAAGAAGAAAACCCTATTCTGCGGATTACAAACTACAGGTAATTGTAACTACCCTGGTTATACAAAATACTCCACGTCTCGAAACGGATGCAAACTTGCGCGTTTATTATTTCCAGCGTTCAGTAGAAAAACACCATAAACAACTCTGCACAATTGCACCGTGAAAATGGTTTGCCAAGTGCAACCAGCAGTAGAAAATATAAAAACAATCTCTCAAACGTTAATCACTTTACAACTCTCTTTTTGTTCGCTCCTCTCTCAACTCTCTCTCAACTCTGACCTACGCCGGTGACTCTACTTCCGGCGCAGCGTGTAACTTTATCGAACCAAATTAAAGTTATTTCTCTGTAAATAAAATAAAACATTATCACAGT